TCACTAAAAATAAATTTTGCGACATTATCTTATATCAGTGAAAAGAATAACATTCATAGTAGTTCTGTATATGGAGTTAAACGGTACGTACTTAATTGAAAGCCACTATGGATATTGTTAAACAAGGTATGTACTTTAAATTTATTTCTAAACAAGTTCGTCATTGTTTAGTTTTTATTTATTTTTTAAGATGATTCTTAAATGGGTATAAAAATTTTAAGTTTTCAAACTTCAAAAAGGTATTACAAAAAAACATATCAAAACATATCGTATTTATTGAATATTTTTGTTGACATATTCATACACTTTTAATTTTTGTATAGTTCACCTGCGTCTGCTTGCGACAAACTTTATTTTATAATACTTTTCAGATGGAGTAAAATTGATAAGCAATGCCGATCTGGTTAATACCTACTTGGCTTGATCATAAGGACAAGAACTCAAAATTATTTGTATTTCAAAAAATGTGTCCTTTATTAGATATTGATGAACCTTCCAGTCCAATGAGACAACCATTTGTGCCTGAAAAATCCCACTATGTTGGAGCGAAACGTGGCATAAAAAAAGTTTCCATCTTTCAATTTATTATAAAACCTAATACCCAAGAAAACGAAAAAATAATATATGGATATGGTCTATTAAAGAGATAACTATTAACATCTGAACCCCTCATACCAACAAAAAGAACAGTAACAACGCGAAAAAGTACCATATTAGAAAATGATGTACAGAAATATCTTATATGTGAGGATATTTCATCTACCTGTGATTTGGATACTATAAATTTGGAAGATTCTATCAGCAGTGATTCTTCTGAATCAGAGTAGTTACGATCTATGCATTTTGTTGTCCTAAAGTAAATTTATAGTATCTTAAGTTTTTTTTAATTAAATATAGCATTAATGTTTCTTTTTCATTAAAGAAAAACATGTTTATCATATATTAGGTTTATATTGTAGGAATCATGTTCTAATGTTATTCCAATTCTTTTTTATCACAGGGATTTATTTAATACTTACACCGTTTTCATACTATAAATTATTATTTCCTTAGATGGAACACAGCTCCAACAGTTTTATTATTTATAAGATTTTTTTTCATAAACGTGGGACTAAGAACATCATCATTTAGTACAATGAGAGTACTCATCATTTGTGTCAAATTAACCTAGTTTGATTAAATTGCCTACAATAAAAGAGAAGTTTTGCATTTTTGTCCTCTAGAGCCATATGTTCGAAGCACTGTGCGTCGTCTCGGCGCACTCAGCAATAAGGTGTTCTGGTGTTTCCCCATTTTCCCCACAGAATCTCCATTCGCCATTGTCTCTCAGCTTCAGCCTACTGAGGTGTTCGTTGAGAAGACAGTGTCCTGTTAGAAACCCCGTTACAATCCGAAGAGTGTTTTTACTTAAATCAAGGAAAACCTTTGATTTTTCTCGGTCGTAAGTTTTGAGGAACTTTTTCGAGTGTCTTAGACCGTTGGAGGACACCCATTCCAAGTTACAGATGGAGTCTTCCAGATTCTTCAGTTCCGCTTTCAGTTGGTTCCCGCTTGGAAAACAGAACGGTTCTGATCCAGTTAGTGGGGAGTGTTTGCTCTTTCCTAGCTAGATCATTTGCCTTTTCATTGCCTTCTATCTCTTGGTGAGCAGGCACCCAGAGTAGGAGGACTTTATTTTCTTTGCCTAATTTGTTGAGCTTCTCTAGGCATTCTTTGACCAACTTCGAATTGATGGTTACTGAGTTGATCGCGTTTAGTGCTGTTTGACTATCGGATAGGATGGCAATTTCCTGTTTTCGACAGTTCCTATCTAAGATAAGTTGTACGCATCTTTCGATAGCGAAAATTTCTGCCTGAAGGAAACTGGGGTAAGTGCCCAGTATCAAAAAAAGTTTTAGCTGTTTATATAATTTGTTGAAGCAACTGTATCTGCAAGGAGAAAAGAAGTACCACCATTAGTACTCTCTATCCTAACGAAAAGTACCCTTTCAGGGCTGTTACGGAATTTTTCACAATCGCTATTCACTTTGTACAGTACCAAATTTCAGAAAAAACGCTTTACCAATGTTCTTAAAAATAAAAATTAGTTATTTTTATATCTATAGTGCGCGAAGTGCTACTTTGGTTATCGATACTTGAATTTTTTAACGAGGCGTAGTCGAGATCACCAAAGTAGTTCGCGCACGAGTTGCAAACAACATTTTTTCTACAAACATTAAAATCGGGATATCCCTAAAAAATATTATTATTATATTATTGCTTCGAAAAAAAAAAGCATGAGCTTGGAATGTATGTTTTTTTATTACTGAACATCGTCATCGATTTCCTTTTGCCGCCGTAGCCGTGAGGAACTTACTAAAATGGCGGTCGATAACATAGAAGATAAAAGCTTTGTTCGGGTTCTTGTTATTACCGATTCTGAACCGTCCTAGAACTCTGCAGCGCATACGCAAATGAAATAATGTCTTCATATTTCCTTCTGCGCATACGCATTACAGTTTCAAAAACTTTGAACCGATATAAAAGAATAATACGAATAAAATAACGATAAATCTAGAAACTTGTTCATATTGATCTCTTCGCTATTTGGTAATAAGAGAAACCCGAAGTAAGCTAAAGATTCAATTTTGATTGTTAAAGTACCCGATACAAAAACAAACATAGACCGAGTCTTTACAGTGTCAAATTTGAGTTACATTGAGATTTACCGAAAATACGCAGCTCTTCGTCCAAGAAATGCTACCAGTCGCACACTGTTTTTAAAATATCAAAATAAAAGATGAAAACCAAGTGGTCGCCTTAAATCCTATTGGTAAGATGCCTAGCATAATAGCAAAACATTTGAAGCTGCCAGATTATGAGGCCTACAATGGGCATTGTTTCCGGAGAACTTCAGCCACACTCCTTGCTAATGCAGGGGATGATATATTTAGACAGTAGCCGAGGGATACGTCGAGATTCTATCAACAATAAAATTCAACTATCAATTAAAATTTTAGAGTGTCATTTACCGGGATCAAGTACCTCTACATCAAAATTGGATAGTGTCTCAAGTCCCAAAACCTCCATATCTCAAGCAAAATCAGAACTATCTAGTTTGGGATTAAATATTGGTTCGTGTATACTGGTTGTACTATTAATGTTAATATTGTAAATAATAACTAGAATATGCATTAGTGTTTAGTTCGATATTGCAATTTACATGCAGTGTGCGAAACAGGCAAGAGGCGAAAAAATATATTATTTTTATTTAACCTTTCGAGAGCTGTAATTTCTTCGGGAAGCATTTTAGGACATAATATGTTCATAGGAACATTTTTTTGTTTTCTATACTAATATATAAAATCATTAAGTGACTGACATACTGATTAATCACGATCCTGCTCAAACCACTCAACGTAAGGAGCTCAATTTTGGCATACAGGTTGATTCTAGGGTGTAGAGGTTCGATAAAAAGGGATTTTTCGAAATTCCAGTTCCAAGGGGGTGAAACCACCCCTCAAATATTACATTATTTTTTATTTAAAAAACGGTCAAGTTTCCGAAAAAACGCTTAAACACGTATATTTTATTTTGTTTTTTTACATATTTTAGGATTTTTTAAAAATGTATACAGGATGTTTCGAAAAATCTGGTCATTGATTAATCACGATCCTGCTTAAAGCGCGTGACGTAAAAAGCTGATTTTTGGAAAACAGATTGACTTTAGGGTGTAGAGGTTCAATAAGAAAGGATTTTTTGAAACTCGAATTCTATGGGGGTGAAATTATCCCTCAAATATTAAAATATTTTTTATTTAAAAACCGGTGAGTTTTTCGGAAATACTCTTAAACACGTATATTTTATTTTGTTGTTTTACATATTTTAAGATTTTTATAAATTTATACAGGGTGTTTCATAAAATATGACCATTGAGTAATCAAGATTCTGCTTAAACTGCTTGACGTTTAACGCTGATTTTTGGTAAACGGATTGACTGTGGGGTGTTTCTCGAATCTCAAATTCCAAGAGGGTGAAAATGCCCCTCAAATATTACAATATTTGTTATTTAAAAAACGGTTAGTCTTTCGGGAAAACGCTTGGACAAGCATAATTTATTTGGTTTTTTACATATTTTGAAATTTTTTAAAAAATCATACAGGGTGTTCCAAAAAGTTGGGTAATTTCTTTACCACGATTCTGCTTAAACTGCTTAACGTAAAAAGCTTATTTTTGGCAAACGGATTTTTCGAAAGTCAAATTCCAACGAGATGAAACTATCCCTCAAATATTACCAAGTTATATAATAATATCGCCATATTGTTTTTTCTCATGCTGACATAAATGTGAGCTTGCTTTGCTTTATCATCGCCATTACAAACGATTAATTCGACGCGAACAAAGTCGCTGGTACACGCTAGTATTTTTATATTTAGAATCACCCACCAAATTAGATATTATGAGTTAGATACACAATTTTTTTGATACCCTGTATATTTTAAATGGAAAATACGACAAAATTTCAAGATACACCAAGCATTCATACACTACAAAATATAAAACACAGTACACTAAGGGGGGAGATGAATTATCTAATTTAAATAATTTTATATCTTTTGCTGAAACGTATAAGGTCACTTCAAAAACTTTGAACCGATATAAAAGAATAATACGAATAAAATAACGATAAATCTAGAAACTTGTTCATATTGATCTCTTCGCTATTTGGAACTAGATTCATCGCCAAAATCTAGTTCAATGATCCTATATAGTCGAGGTCCTTGATTATTTATTAATTTGTCACTAAATTTTCAAGTGATTGGTTAGGGAGGCGTTCTTGATATCCCAGAAACTCGTTTTAAAATTAATAATATCTTTATTTTATGTTAATATAAGATGCAATTTACATTATTTGGTCCTGTTCTATGCCCATGAAGATGTTTCGTCATTGATATGGTTTAATTTTAGACCCAGCAAGGTTCAGGTTCTTTTTCTAGTATATAAACAGGAATTTTTGCGGAGATCTGCAACAGTTCATCAGAGTAAACAGTGAACATCACATCAACCACCATGAAAACTGTAAGTTTGTTTACTAAAGTAATAATTATTATTATTAATGTACAGGGTGGGTCAAATTGGACGCTTTTAAAGAACACCTTTTTCTACAGGAGATAGACGAAAACTAATATCGGTGTTTGAAGCTCAATTTTTATCAAAAACGATGGTGAAAATCGCACATCGATATCTATTACCGTTTCGGAGTTACGGGGTGTTTTTCAAAAATGTGCGTTTTTAACAAATTGCTGTAACATTTTTGCTATAGAAAATTTTGTATTTTTATGAAAACATTTCCAAAGCACCGTTTTACGTAGAATTTAATGGTTTACGTATATATTTTTTTTAAATTAATAATTTAAGAATTATTGACAGAAAATTTGATTTTTTATATGAGACAACCTGTATATTTTTAATTCATTGAAAATAATTTAAAATTACCTTTCCAAAAATATAGTATACTTCATATTTTTATCGATTCATTTTCGAAATATAGAGTTTGTAAAAATTCGCCCACTTTTAATAAGTGGGCTTTGAACGGCGCTGGAGGTAATACAAAAAAATTATAGATGTGAGCAGCAATTAAAACGAAAACAGAATTTTATGGCAATTTAAACTATATTAAACAACATCAACACATTTAAACTATGTATATCTAATAACAATAAAAATAATAAAAATAAATAGCAAACCAAGACATTTTTTTTTGCTACAGGTGTTCGACATATCGACCCGTCTTCTGTTATACACAGACGGGGCCGTTTTTGAACATTCATCGCGGAATTCATTAACTCAGTGGGGGTGAAAGGTACCCTTTCATAACTGCTAAGTATTTCTAATTCTTGTGTAGATTATACGGAAGAATAAGGAACCTTTATTCTTCCGCAAATATATCCATAGGATTAGATCCATGGGCACTAAGTCAGGCGGCCTCGACGGCCAACGGCTGGGATCTTGGTTAGCTATACAATTATTATTATTCCTGAAATTGGCTGCAAAAATTTGCTGATAACTTCAGCATTCAGAGGCGGTGCGTCGTCTTGCTGGAAAAATATGTTTTCGAGTTCCATTAAGGGCATATCATCAATAAGGGGTCCAAAGCCTATACTAGTTAAAAGTGGCGAACTTTTAAAAATTCTGTATTTCGAAGGGTATTATAACAAAATATCAAAAATAACTAATGTTAATTAAACTATGTCTAATAACAATAAAAATAAATAGCAAACCAAGACATGAGATTTTGCTACAACAAGTATCTTCTGTTATGGTCAGACGGGACCGATTTTGAACATTTTTCGCGGAATTCATTAACTCAATGTGGGTGAAAGATACCCCCGCATAACCGCTAAGTAATTCTAATTCTCCTCTAGATCATACGGACAATTTAAAAATAAGAACCTTTATTCTTCCGCAAAGATAAAAATCCATAGGCGCTAAGTCCGGTGGCCTCGACGGCCAACGGGTGGGATCTAGGTTTGCTATTCAATTATTCTCGAAATTGACTGCTAAAATTTGCTGATAACTTCAGCGTTCTGAGACGGTGCTCCGCCTTGCTGGAAAAATATGTTTTCGAGTTCCATTAGGGACAGATCATCAATAAGGGGTCAAAGCCTACTAGTTAAACAAGCCTCAAGCCTACAAGTTAGATATGTGTGTCTGTAAACGGTCTATCAATTTTTAATTTCTCTATTATTAGTATTAATTTTATGTCAGTTTTTAGTAAATGATAACTAAAGACTGACTTCACCAAAATGATCATCTATTGTCATTAATATTTTTTGAATAATAAGAACCTTTATTCTTCCGCAAAGATAAAAATTCATAGGCGCTAAGTCCGGTGGCCTCGACGGCCAACGGGTGGGATCTTGGTTTGCTATTCAATTATTCTCGAAATTGACTGCAAAAAGTTGCTGATAACTTCAGCGTTCTGAGACGGTGATCCGCTTTGCTGGAAAAATATGTTTTTGAGTCCCATTAGGACAGATCATCAATAAGGGGTCCAAAGCCTACTAGTTAAAGAAGCCTACAAGTTAGATTTGTGAGTCTGTAAACGGTCTATCAATTTTTAATCTCTCTATAATTAGTATTAATTTTATGTCAGTTTTTAGTAAATGATAACTAAATATTGACTTCACCAAAATGATCATCGATTGTCATTAATATTTTTTGAATTTCAGATCCTGATCTTCGTAGCTATATTCTACCTGGCTAATGCCAGCGAGGAACTGAAAAGAACCAAGCGTGGCTTCCTCTACGGAGGACTCGGTTCCTATTCTGGAGCTTCGGCCAGCAGCTACGCAGGAAGCTACGGAGGTTACGGAGGCTACGGATTATCCGGAGCGTCAGCTTACGCTTCTAGCTACGCTGCAGCTCCCTCGGCTGTAGCTGTACCAGTCGCCGTTCCAGTAGCCTACGCTCAACCCTATCCAGTTATCCATAAAGTGGCCGTACCTGTTACTAGGACCGTAGCTGTCCCGGTAGCTGTAAGGAGCTACGGAGGATATGGATATGGGGGTTACGGAGGTTATGGAAGTTACGCCAACAGTTTCAGCAGAGCTAGATCTTACGGTAGTGGTTGGTGGTGAACGTAGATGTAATATATTTTTAGAGTTTTAATAAAATGTTTGTATGTATATTAAAATAAAGTTAATAGTTTTATTTTATTGTTTAGTTGTTATTTTTTCTAAGATAGTGATTTTAATTTTGATATTGATACATGTCCGTCAACAAAATTTAACCCCATATCCAATAATGACAATGACAATTTCTAAAAGCAAATTTTGAGAGTGAGAAATCAATGAGTACTTATCTAAAACTTTTGCAAGTTAATAATATTCAATTTTTTTAAAGGTTGCTATTAGACTCAGATCAAGACAAATTAATAAAATTGTGTATCGATCTCCTCAAGGAGGTCGAAATCTGCAAAATATCGAGAGACAACTTTTAATCGGCCATTAAACGGTTTACACAATTTCTCTAACAAGAGAAAAAAAAGTCACTGGCGTACATGCTTTTTTTAGAAAAATATCCCAGTGATAACCCATGTGCACGTCCCTGGTGAATATGGCAAAACCTTTTACCATTAAAATATGTCGCATTTATAGTCAATTTTACCCTCATATTTCATTGGAATCGCTAAAAGTACTTGGAAGAAAATTATAATAAATCGAAAAAATATTAAGACACCTTGTAGCTACGAAACAAAACACAATCGGACCTATGTTGATATGAAAAATAAATCTTATTTTTACGTGAGAAATCGTCACATGCTCTTTGAAACACCCTGTATAAACAGTTATTATTTACATCAACAAAACTGACCTTCTTGTGTAGTAAGTGTAGTAAACTATTTTTTTTGGAGGAAAATTTTAAGTCAGTATAATCAATTAAAATAAATTATACAGGGTGTCCCAGAAATGTGCAAGTATTTTAAGCGGTGGCAGATATCGATAAAAGAAACATATTTTCTGTTTATCGTTTTTCAAATAAGTCCAAAATAACGGAGTTATTTTACTTGGAAAATTTCCAAAAAAAATGATTTTTTGCTAATATTTTGAGAACCACTGGATCTTTTCTGGATTTTCTTTCTTGTAAATTTAATCTAATACCTATGTTGCCATATTATCAAGAAATTATGATTTTTAACTAAAAACTAAAAAAAAATTCAAAATATTTTTCAAAAAATTTCGAATTTTCAATTTTTTTTTTCGTGAATAAAACCTCATAGACGTGTTTCTACGGTTGAACTGTACTACCAGTTAAAATACTTGCACTTATTTCTGGGACACCCTGTATAATATACGACCTTCAGTGAGAATTATATTAATGAGTAAGAGACGAAATATTAATAACCTGTATACCTAGGTCAAGAAAATAAGAAATTTTCCTTATTTTGATATATTATAATAATTTTTAATAATAGATATTTTTTTGGCCAGAATCACTGCTGGGTATATAATGATGACATGGTATATTTAGATGTATTATGTAAAAATCCAAAAATATATACTGAATACGTAATTCCATACAGGGTGTACCAAACCAACTATTGTTATTCCCCTTCAACTGCAAGATCTGTCGGTATTTGAATAAAAATTGACGTCGGTGTTTTTTGGCGTGAGAAATTTGATTTCGATGTCAATATATGGCCTTTTACTTGTGGGTAGTACCTACATACTATTTTTAGCTGTCGTGAAGAGTAATAACTTTTCGTCGGTACCTGTATTACACTACTGAGTGAAAAAATATGCATTTCTGTCAATTTTTAGGCAAAAGAGTCTCTTGGTAACAAGGCAAATACTAGAATGATTCTCAAGATACTTGGAATTGAAAGAGTCAATACATGCCATAGTTGACAAAAATTATACATGTTGACTGGATAGTTATTAGTCTGAAATAATAAATTTGATATGTTTTTGTGTCAAAGATTAAACAAAAACTGTTCCCAAATGTTGTAGCATTTTTTATTCCCGTTAATAAAATTGAATTTAAAAATCTATTTTTATTTAAATTTCTTAGTATTGGCGCCATCTATTTGCTAGATGCCAAAGATACCAAACTCCATTTGTTACAGTTCACTTGCCTCGATATTTAATTTTTATTAGCGCATCTATTCGCTAGATGTCAAACTTCATTTCTTACAGTTTACTTGTCTTGTTTATTAGCGCCATCTATTCGCTATATGCCAAACTTCCTTAATTACATTTCCCTTGTCCCGATATTTAATTTTTATTAGCGCATCTATTCGCTAGATGTCAAACTTCATTTATGACAGTTGGGTTTTCGTTTCTGAAACTGAGAAGAAAGTCTTTTTTCTGGGAATTTGGATCTGAGGAAGACGCGTGTTTTGGCGTCCGACAAATTTTCCAGTGAAAAGCACTCTGAATCCACTTTTCGATTTCGATTGCATGGGTATCCGATTTGGAGACTTGAAAACCTTGTAAAGTATGCAATCCGGAGTATAGATCGTATTTTTTTGGATTCTTCTTGGAATGATCACCGTAAGTTTATCCGCCATTTTATATAGCCCTATCTAACTAAATTCTATTTCAGTTATTTCCCGTTTGTTATTTCGTTTACTTTGAGTATTTAATTACTGGTTTGGATCGGCATATGGTTTGAATATATTTATGTAAAGCTGATTTTCAGACCGTAAGTTGTTTCTTTTATTTAGTATCTGTCCTGAGAACTATTTTTTATTTATAGAGTAAAATTACCACATGGTACTCAGTAATGACCACCATGATATTAAGTAAAAATACCCCATGGTATTCAGTAACTGCCACACGGTACTCAGTAACTACCACCTGGTACTCAGTAATTACCACATGACCTTAAGACAGTGTTCCTGACATTACAATCGTTCTTTTGGCTGATATCGAGGACTTCTCCTGCCATAGTCATCTGCATCCACTTCTGTTAGTCTGGAGAATACCTAACTACCTGTTTACATCATAAGAAACTATATACAGATAAGTCTTAAGTTTGATACACAAGGTACGCCTTTATTTTATAATTTTTGAGACAACAGATTTAATAACCTGGTAAATTATCACTATTTATCCCACATATTATAGTCAAAATTATTTTTTATTTAACGTTATAAGTTGTAATTTGATTCGTACAGTACACTCTTACTTAGCTATGATATTTTATATGAAAATTATTAACACGTATTCATTTTAAAGGTTTTTGTACATGACATGTTTCGAAACATCATCGTATTGAGACATACATAAATTTCACCTGTTTTTATCAAGTAGCTTACTTAGTTCAAAGAATACAGTTACTAAATCTCGGAATCTATTTAAAATAATTTGCGGTTTTTATTGGGATCACTGTGACTAATTCATGATACTTGTGTTTGTTTTCAATAAATGTTTAATGTAGGATAGTTATTTCTGACTTTTTATTCTGATAAACATAATAGACCCTTAATGCTGTTGGATTACTTTATTTTAGCTATGTTGTGATATCATATTTTTTCTTTTGGTTTTTTACTTTACCACTCTCATAAACAAAGTAAGTGGCGCCCTTTTCACTGTCTTTGACCATACCTCTTTGAATTCTTAACATCAATATTAAAATCTCTGCAGCCTATATATGTTATCATTTTTTTATTTTTTAACAACATTAGAAAGTCACTATGAGTCAGAAGCCTTACCTACGAACCCAGCTTTCCTCTAACCCTGAGCAACGGATTCTTTTTTCATTCTATTTGGGTAACGACAGAAAAGTCGTCACACATAGAAGAATAAAGTATATGGCGCCCAACGTGGGGCTCAGCTTAATTTGATTGGCTCAGCTTAATTTGATTGACTCAGCTTAATTTGATTGACTCAGCTTAATTTGATCGACTTAATTTAGTAAACTTAATTTAGTAAAATAATTTCTATTAGGCTCAGATAAATTTTCTTTAAGGCAAAGACTATAGTTTTGAAATTTTGTTTTCATTATTTCTGTAATTTAATTTTTATAATTTCAGTACAACAGCCATTTTTGTTTTTTATGTTATAGAGGGTGTTTGTTTATCGGTTTAAAACTCAGAGATAAATAACTTGATACTTCTGACTACATAGTTTATTGAAATTTTGATTTTGATATAAATATACAGGTAAGGTTATATTTTGAATATACAGAGTGGACATAATTTTAGTATACAGGGTAGCGTTGTTAGTACTTCGTAAAATTTTGGAATTTGTTTTGAATATTTGAGTCTTTTTTGGTTTTGACATTGAACATAATTTCTTTCTGATAGATTGCGTCGAGTCATAACAGCTTTTTGTTAAAATTAGTGAATTTTTCTGAATCATTTAGTCTTTAATATCTTATAAAACTGAATTACAATGGAGAAAGAATCTTTTAAAGTTAATCATTTACGACAAGTAGAATTAGATTATGAACTTCTTATTAGGGGTATTAAGACATCTAAAAATGTTGATAGTAAACGTAAAATTTTGTCAGGTCTTTTAAGTAGAGAAATTAATAACCCTTTTTGTTTAGTTAATATGAAAATTATCCTCTTTCTTTTGATCAAGAAATTTTCGAAATTAAAGCAACTTTAGATTCAATTTCTTTGTCAATTTCTGAATTCGAGGGTGAGTAAATGATTCAATGTTTAAAGTTATAAAATCTCGTCTTGTACATTTGGCTGGTAGAATTAGAAGAATAATTTTAGATGAAAATCGTGCTGATGCAGAGACCATTCAAACTGATGTTTATACTAGTTGTTATCAACTTGAAGCTGACTTATTTTCAAAAATTTCTGACACAAAATGAAATTTTAAATGTTAGTTCTGTCCCTTCAGGACCGGTTATTAATGTACCGCCTCCTATTGTGACTTATGTTGCTAAACCTTGTCCAGTGTCAGACTGGCCTATTAAATTTAATGGTAATCCTCAAGATTTATTTTCATTTTTAGAAAGTGTTACTGAGCTTTCTGAATCACGTAAAGTTAGGTGAACAAGATTTATTTTCTTCCGCAGTAGAACTTTTTACCGGGAATGCTTTTATTTGGTACAGAAGTATTAAACAACATGTTACAGATTGGAAATCTCTTGTAGAAAGATTAAAGAAAGACTTTTTTGGCACCAGATAATGATGACAATATTTGGTCGCAAATTAAATCTTATAAACAACGAAAAAATGAAAGTATTTTAATTT